GTTTTCTGCACACATGTTTTTCCACCTGTCTTCTCTCAACAAATCTGTCAACCCATGATACTGTTGCAGTTGTTCTCTCCTATGGTTTCCTTTCTTCTTTAAGTTATTCAGTTCTCTGTTTCATATCTTTTGGAAGAGACATGCAACTCCATTCCTGATCACGAAATCTTTAAACTCTAAAGGTCCTGCAGTAGGATCTTTCCCTTGCAAAAGGAGATGGGAGAGAAACCAAACCTTCACAAAGGCCAGACCTTAACAAGAGTTATTACTTCCCTGGGGTGTGAACAGCAGGGCAATGGAAGCCAATATTCTTCTATTCTCAACAGTTGTCTCATGGGGCAGTTAAAAAGCAGTCACTGCATTTCTGAAGTAGCTTAAGAAATTACTAAACGTATTTTGCATATAATTTTACCAGGTCTGACTTTAGAAAGCTGTCAAGCCCTTTTGGGTTCATGCAAAGGTAAAATCAAGACATTACTACAGCCTCTTCTATATTTAAGGAAACTGTCTACCTGCCTACAACATAGACAGCTGCATCAGTCTAATGACATTCATAACTGCAGACATTTAGCACTTAAAAAAGCAGAATTAAAGCCTTACTGAAATTAAGCATGCAGCTTTGTATCTCCTGAATCTGACATCTCACTAGAACTATTCTTCCAAGTGAGAAAACAGAAATGCAAAATTACCTCAGGTTTTCAAGATAAGTAACTACTCTGATTTTAATATTCTCTATACAGCATATTTTGCTGACTAAAATAGAGCTAATTCATAGATTAAGGTTGCTTCATTTAAGTAAGGGAGCTAGACATCAGAGTCCACCTTTGACTTCACAGCCATTTTGAGGAAAAAAAAAATAAATCAGGAAATATAAAGGTGAAAAGTAACATATATAGTAGAGCTCTGATAGTTTCCTTCTAAGTTGCCTAGTATTATTATATGTATTAACTACTTCTGGTTCTAACTTGTCAACTCTGTTCTGTGCTACATATTTTAAGGCTTTAACTTTTAAAGCTAGAGGAATAATTGTATACATAGGAATGACAAAACCAGCATTTAGTGGCCCTTAAAGATACGTTTTAAAGGAAATTAATTTGAAAATAATAGGAACTTATTAAATGTTACACTTCTCCATAATTAATATCAACATATTTTGTATGAATTAGATCACACATCCTCATTTTTTAAAACCATGTCCTCCACTGACCCATCTTTCTTGGTGCAGCTTCACATTTAACACCAGATCTTTCTCTTCAGAAACAATTATCTTCAAATTGCTCTTAAAAAATGGCTTACACTTAGATACCATTTCTGTCAAAAATATAAATCACACTCATTGCCTGAGATGACAGGTACTCAGTATCTTCAGAGCATGATAAATGTCTGGCATTACTCAATGTATGTCTTTCCTGTAGCCACAGTTAAAAGTTTTTCCTACCTTTCTTTGTGAGGATTTTATCTTTCTGATATCTTGAAGTTTATATATGCTATCACAGCATACCACATGACTGAAATGTCAAAATAAACTAACGAAAAGAAGAACAAAATTATTAATTTACTAGTACTATATTTTTCATTTGTGCCTAAATTTTATCCATAAATTTGGTTTCAGTTCCCCACATATGTTTGGTTCTGTTCACTACCTCAACGATCTGAGCTTAGAAAGTGATCACACAAATTTGTAGGAGGGAGATAAATGATAAGTGCCACATTAAGCATAAAGTGGGCATTCTGGATACAGAAAGTACCTGGACTAAGTTAATAGCCTGGAACAATACTGCTTGTCTTTTTTGTTTTTATCATACTGAATCATCAGCATACTGGACACTGCCAGAGACTAGATACTGGACTAAACGTGGTTTTGATCTCATTGGATACATGTGCATTTTTGTTGTTGTGAACACATTTAATTACCTTGGACTAAAACCTAGGGCTGTTTCACTTTAGAATTTGTAATTAAAATTTGTTTCATTTCTTAAAATGTAAGTCCTAAGGGCCTTTTTTTCTCTCTATACAGACTAAAGAAATACATTAGGCATTGAAATATTTACATTTCCTTAGCCATATACAATAATCTACAAGCAATTAACTTGTATTTGCAAATTTTGTCATGTCATATTATCTTTACTGTCTTTTATTGATGTAAACAAAATTCTGGTCTTCTGTTATTTTTCCAAATGTAGTGACATTCCAGATGTAGTGAAATTCCGTTTTAGTGGTCATTGTTAGTAAAGTAATTTCGAACCAAATGAATCACAAATTATTGCAAGGGAGCTATAAAAGCATATACGTTCAAGAATATACAATTGCATGAACTAGATGAAAACTTCTGTCTGACAATTTTAAGTGAAGAAAAGAATTTTAAACATATTTTGATGCCTTTGTGCTTCAGATAACAAGTGTTTCTGATTTCAGGAGTGCAGCTGAGAGACAACTATAACCTGACTGGACCATATAAAAATTGAGATCATAGAATCATAAAATAATGATAATCAAAAAAACCAACAGACTGAATGGGACCTCAGGGGGTCTCTATCCAATCTTGTACTCAAAGCAGTGTCAGCTATGAGATCAGATCAGGTTGTTCAAGATTTTCTCCAGCCTGGTCTTAAAAATCTCCAAGGACAGAGACTGCACTAGTTCCCTGGCCAAATGCCAAAACTTTGCATTCCTTGTTAAATTCCATGAAGTTCTTGTCTTTCCACCCTTCCAGTCTGCCTAGATCCCTCAGCACAGCAGCCGTGCCCTTTAGTGCACTGACTGGTCCTTCCAATTTGATGTCAAATTCAAGCTTGTAGCTACATTATCACCTGCTCCAGTCACTGATAAAGATATTAAACAGGATGGGGTCCCAGACAGACAGACCTCTGCGACAATAGTTATTTTCAGGCTTTTGGTCAAATATGACCCACTAACCATCACCCTCTGAGACTAACTATCCGAATGGGCTTTTAACTATTTTATTGTCCAGTAAGTGGTATCAACTGCTCTCTTCTTGTCTACAGATTCAGTCAGTTTTTCATAGAAGGCAATCAGGTTTGGTCAAATATGATTTGCACTTGGCAAATCTATGCTGCCTGTTCCAAATCACCTTTTTTCTCCTTTATGGGCCCAGATCTGAAACTCACTCCATGATTTTCTCAAGAACTGAAGTGTGGCTAGCTGGCCTTTAGCTCTTCTGCTCATCCCTTTGGCTTCTTTTAAAGATGCACACACATGCCCTTCTCCAAATGTGGGACATCTCCACCGATCTCCACAGTCTTTCACAGATGATACATCTGTGGCCTTGCAATGCCATCAGCAACATTCTTGTATGCAGCACAACTGGTTCATTGTATGCCCATGAGTCAAGCTCACTCACTATTCCCTGGCTTGATCCTCAACCACTGCCGGTTGCTCCTCTTCTCCTTGAACCCTGCTCAGAGCACACAGGCCTGAAAAACCTTGCCAGTGAGAACTCAGTCAAAGAAGACATTGAGTACTTCAGCCTTGTCAGCACACATTTTGACTAAAGTACCCACCTCAATCACCAACAGTCCCACATTTTCCTTGTCAGAGTTTAACTACAAATGCAGCAGTAGAAGCTTCTTCTTGTTGCCTTTAGCTTTCCTTACAAGGCTAATTCTAGTTGAGCTTCGGCTTTTCCCCTTCACTTGCCCAGCCAGTTTTTCTGAACTGCCCCTTTGAGCCTCTTCCTGCTCTTACTTTCTGTCTACTGCATTTTTGCTCTAGAACTCAGTCATGTGCTCCCTACCTGGCCCAGCTGGCCTGACGGTACGTCTACTTGTTTTCCTGAGTTTCAAGGTGAACCATTCTTGTATTTGAAGGAGATGTGCTCTAGGTTTTGCTCTGGTTTTGTCAGATGGAGATTTTGTTATCGCAGGTGAGCATGACGTGAGGTAATAATGTTAAGAATGGGCACTTTGCTATGAGAATTGACACAAGATATTGTAAAGCATTTTTATAGTTGGAATTTTTCTACATTTAAATATTTATGTAACAGTTTTGTTCTATTCCAAACTGTTTCAGATTTTAGACTAATGACATTACTAAATCAGCATTCCGAAGGAAAATGGTATTCACAGTGTTATACCCTACATTTTCTCTTGCAAGTTTGACCAAGTTGTAACATGTTCTTATTTGTCTTGTGCTGTGCTTTTTGTACTGTTGGAAGCAAAATCAACTTCATGTAGCAACAAAAAGTATCACATAACTGAACGATAAGTTAAACATTTCCTTAGAAAACACCTTTTTAAAAAATAACAACACAAAAAATCCATTTGCTGAGTGAGTTGCACATGCCTTGTTCAGTCCTTAGTGCTTCAGTGAGATTGCAAATGATCTGACCTGCAGAACAGTACAACTTCAAGAGTTCCTGAAGCCTAAGTCTTGACCTAACTTACACACATAAAATAACCACTATTTTGTCATGGTTAGATAGGCATAAAACTGAGCAGCACTTGCTCTGTTATTTTTTTTCTTCTTATTACTGCTAATAAAAAACATGCACACTTTCTGTGCTATTTTAACAACACACATGAAAGTCAAGGAAATTTATCTCAGATCTGAGAAGTGGAAGAATGTTTTAGCAGGAACATGATACATATATGAAGCATGAGCCTGAACTCTGGTAGGACTTACTGCACTGTGAAAGAGGGAAAGTGTGGCACAGCACAACAACATCTGAACTAGGTTTTCAACATTTGTGGCTGCAGGCAATATACTACATGCCATTTCACATGCTAACTACTGTACCACTATAAGGAAACTCCATTAGTTTTGATCTTTCTCATCATCTGGAACAGTTATTAACTTTCTCATCTTCAGATACAGCACTCTTAACACTGAGTTCAATGAAAAGAGACCACATACCATGTAGTTTAATAGACATACATTTTAACTCGTCCCTTAACTATGTTGTGTTAATTGCATGAAATCCTGCAGCAGCAGGTGCCACAAGGCAGCCCTCTCAATAGTTGCTAGAGGAGGCATCTTCTCCACTGTGCTCCAGGTCCCACCCTACCTTTGAAAGAGTTCCTTACTCTGTGCTCCACTGCTGCATCCACTAAGAAGTGGGGGCAAAAATACAGACAGGAAGGTTGGTTTTACATAGTTGGGAGCAACACGCTAGAGTGAGCGAGTATAACAAGAACAAACGGAAACATTTAGTACCAAGCTCCCATTCCTTACTTTGGTTTTGTATCCAGTGAGGGGATTTTTATTACTCTTTACACTTATATTGTTCTGTAAATGCATCGGGTAAATAGAATTCAGCCTGTACCTTGCTCCTGCACTTAAGGTATTTCTCTGAGCATTTCCCAGTTACAATGCATGATCTGACACTCTGCATGGTGTTGCTCTGTTCACTGAACTGTACCAGCTGTGATACAACTCTGTCTGAAGGAGACATCATCACTGAGTTTTGTTTTTCCTAACTGCATAAAATGTGCTTTCTTTTGGTTTGTTTGTTGAAAAGCAAGTAAAATGAAGTATAAAGCTACTAACACATCTTAAGCAGCAGTATTTTTTAAATGTAATTTTTTTACTATTGTTCCCCCCTATGGCCCCAAGCATACAAAACCTCTGCACCAAGATGAAGCATTTCAAACTTCAGACCTCCTCCTCTAGAAGTATGAGAATACAAATCAAATACAATCCTTCTAAGTCATCCTCCTCAATTTTTTCCTGAAAGGCACTCAGATGTTATAATTGCATAAATGCCTGTTTTATAACAGAGTCATTCTAAAGACAGTAGACTGTCGGGTTTTTAACTTTTGTGCTGCTACACACAGGAATAACATTCTCCCAGTTTCAGCTAAGCGCAGCTGGAAATGAATGGAAAGAGGATCTATTATTGTGGCAAGGTTTAAATCATTTTGTTACACTACCTACTCAGACACTGGAAGAGAAAATATGTGATTACCTATATGCACGTTGTGCACCAGTATGTTCATGTAATTAGCATTATTACAGGAGATGTTCCCACCTTGTCATTATTATGTATTTTTAGTTCTTTTCCTTAGAGTACAGACAAACTTTCACCCTTAAAAAAACCTACAGTGTATAGTTGATAGCTTTTCTCCTCTAAGATTTTGTGTAGTCCCAGCAGTGGCAGGAAAGTAAGCTCTTGTCTCTAGTAAGACTAAGTTTCTGGGACAGTGATACTCTTTGAGAATACCTTCTGGACACTGATGCTGCTTCTCAATCACCTCTTTTTCAGGATAGCACATATATTAAAAAATTAATTACACATACAATAATGCCCAATATCTCATTTCTGGTGTATGCATGCCAGTGCAACCACTTCCACTGATAAAGTCTGTAGTATAAATTAGATTATTTTAGAAACAAAACCTTAAATCTAAAATGTCAAAGTTAAAATAATGTTTAAGGTTTAAACCCAGTTAAATGCCAAAAATGTATAATAATACTAGCAGTTACCTTCCAGTAATTTCAGAATACAGTATCTGTCCCAGTTTTTACAAATGAGAAGAGTGCACTATGGACAGCTGAACCAACTTTTCGAAACTCATACAGAGTTTTGAAATCTACAGAGAACTCAGTGATAAAGTTTGGATCCACAAAGAACCAAGATAGTTCATCTCTGGAAAGCCATGGAAAGGCAAAGAACCTTCCACCACCATTAGCTCAACGGTTGTTAAACTGAGAGATTAGCAAAACATTTCTTACTGCATGCCAAGTAGATCCTGCAGTGAGCTCAGATTTTTCTAGCAGAACAACATCCTTCAAACCAGCCTTAGCCAAATGATAGGCTAGACTCACACCAACACAACCACCTCCAATGATCACTGTGTCTGCTCTATCTTTCCCCAAGGAAGCAGATGGGTTTTCTTTCCTGAGGACAAAAAAAAATACAGTTATAAAAAGACAATTGCACTTTTATCCATCTCTTTTGTGAACTGCTCCAATCATAACATAACTTGGTGCACGTTTGAGAGTCTAGACGCACCCGAGTTAAAACCTAACCTGTTAACTCTTTATATTCTTTTAAAGTGCTCTTAAAGAGATATATACATAAGCAATAATAGTATAAAAAACAAACCAAGGTCAGTTCTGCTCATAACTTTAAATATTTGTCTAATACAGCCTTATATGTAAATCCTATTTCTCAGTAAGAAACTCTACCCCCAAAATGACTGTGTCAAACACTGACTTTTCAAAAGTGTCACACTACACATAACACAAAGAGAGTCTTTAACGAATGTCTAATTAGTAAGGCTCTTTAATAAATTTCTAAAGCCAGTGTCAGCAGACTACATCAGTGTATGCGTTCAAGAACAATGAACTTAATATTTATTTTCATGTTGTGATATTTATATGTGAACATTTGGATATGTTCTACTTTGTTGAAGTAAAAACACCATAGAAATAGGTTTTTGTCAGTGGCTCACACCCACTACCATGCTGTGCTGCATTTTCTGGAACACTTTAAGCCACCACCAGCCAGAACTGCTGACATAGGCAGTCTCATTCTCTTCCATCTCATCTGACCCTCCGCTTTACTGTCCCATCCATAGATGGCCAAGAAACAATCCAGATCAGAAAATTTATCCCAATTTATAAAAAGCCAATATTTTGGGATGTGAGACAAGGTAGAGCCTCTCTAGTAGTACAGGCTAATGTGAAACCACAGTATCTCTCCCTTCAGGAGAGTTAATCAACACTCAATTTTACCTCCCCCCTCCTTGTACATTTGCTTTTGCAACTTCTCTGGCAAAAGGCTTTCTAATGTATAACTAGTCTTCCACTCGTCCTCCACTCAGAAACCAAAACAATTACTTATATGCATTCTGAATGGAGATCTTATAAAATAATATGACATTTGATATGCAAATGCAGAAGGAATATACACAATGCTTGTTCAATATGCAGCAATGAATGAAAAGTAAAATAAATGGGAGCACTGGACACCAGAGGTTTTCTGTATTTGGTGCACCACACACTTGCATCTGCTCTTTTTTTGAGATTACATATTAATTTTTGCAAGTTAACAGTAAAGCTGTTTAACAGTCAGGTGTGAGACACATCGGCTCCTCTACTGAATTTTGAGGTAATAAGGTCATGAGTAGAGGCCTTTTCTCATTTTCTTTTATGCTGTGACTTTGAGATTTCTTCAACTGACTTTCAGCTCTTTTCAAACTTTTTCTTTCAAACCTAGGAGCCTGGTAAAAATCCATGGAGTACCTGATCACAGAATCATACAAAAGTTTGGGCTAGAAAGGACCTTAAAGGTCACCTAGTTCCAACCCCCCTGCCACGGGCAGAGACACCTCCCACTAGAGCAGGTTGCTCAAAGCCCTATCCAACCAGAGACCCCTCCCACTAGACAAGGTTACATAAAGCCCCATCCAACCTTGTCTTGAACACCTCCAGTGATAAGAGCATCCGCAGCGTCCCTGGGCAACCTGTGCTCGAGCATAGTGAAAAGCTTCCTCCTTACATCTGATCTAAATTTGTCTTCTTCCAGTTTGAAGCCATTATGCCCTGTCACTACAAGCCCTTGTTAAAAAGTCACTCCCCGTCCTTCTCATAGGCTCCCTTCAGATACTGGAAGGCTGCAGTAAGGTCTCCCCGTAGCAATCTCTCCTCCAGCTTGAGCAGCCCCAACTTTCCCCGTGAACTACACAGCTCACTTAGATGTTTGCTCATGCCATTAAGAACAGCTCATTTTTTGCTCATCGGTATGGCCCAGAAGACAACAAGGAGGCATCTCCACGGGGCTCGGTCTGGTCTTTGAGGCAGCGAGGCGAGGTGCAGAGGGAGGATGCCCATCCTGCCCACAGCGAGAGGGCTCCGCGGCCCGGTGCCCCCGG